ATGAGACCCCAGGATCAGTATCACTTAGAGGAAATGATTTTCTGGAGCTTGCTGATCCCGACTTGCTTCAGGCATCGTTGCATACTTTATAATGGTATTGAGATTGTTCTGGAATGCAGTCAGAATCGGTCTTGGTAGCAGTGGTAGCTTACGTCCTGAAACACTGTTCATAATGACCTCCTCAGGTGCAGGATTTTGCTTCATCTCGACTCTCTCTCGTTCAGCAGATAGATTTGCTGGAATCAGGTTTACACTCTTATGCAGCGCAAAACAAATTGCATTTTTTACAACATTCCAAGTTAGAACCAGCGATTAGAAAGATAAATAAACTCTCTATACGGCTTCCTCTCTATTCTAAATATTAAGCTTGAAGTTTATGGCAGGGATTTTTGCTTACGGCTGAACATTAACTGATAGCCTTTTCATTGTTCCGTGTAGTAATCTGACTGAATCATTGTTGCTAGTATGACAAACTGATCAGCTGGCCTATTATAAGCTTTACATCGGTAAACAGTTCTAAAAACCAAGATGGCTTAACATTTTTGAATTCCACTTTAATTTGATGAGTGGGCATGTGTGTGTGTTAGTGACTCTGAAAGCACCGTTAGCCAGAGTAGTGTAACCTGTTTGTGGTTTGACGTACCTGGTCTGAAGGGCAAGAGGATAGAGGTTTCACAAACTGCAGCATGCCAGTTGCTGTATTGCATCTGGGATGACGTGATCACATAATGAAAATGAAAAAAGATGAATTTATTCGAAGCCGCAAACAAGTTTTTAATTTGCAAGTGCCCAAACACGTTCAGGCATATTCTGAACATAGTATGCGGTTACAGTTATCTAGTTGTTTGTATCGTTCTTTATAGTTTCGGTTTCCTATATGATGCGTTCTACGTCGGAAGGAATAGTTGTCGGTATTCTTTGTCTCCTATTAAAAAAAAGTGTGTGCCATTATCCCTTGATCCTTCTGTACGAAATTTTTGTTATGTCCATTTTGAATTTCTGACAACTGCAAGATGCCGTTTCCTGCCATTTTCGAGCAAAATTATTGTTCTTACCACGTGATGCTACAAACCTGGAGGCATTGTAAAAAAGTTTCTTACTTTACACCGATAGTGCGATAATGTTAGATGGATGGAAGTCATTCCACCGGTTTATACGTCAAAATAATGAAGTTAATCACTTAGTTTCACTGCTCAGGCTAATTTCGCGCCTCTTATTTTAAGCAATTAAAACCTTTAAGTGTTTAAACAAGGCCACCCAAAGAATTCTCTTTTTGCGTGAATTTTTTGCTAAATCCTAAAATTTGCTTTGATTCTGCACAGAATTGGGAGGGGAGTGAATAATTAGTTTCCTTGCACTTTAAGGTGTCGCGCTCAACGCCCAGCACGACTTAAAAGTTTTTTATTTAGTGATGATTCTCTTGATCAAAGAAATAAACTCATTGTATTTCCCTGCAACCTATTGTGAAACGAGTAGTAGTCGGTGGATTACCAGTGAATGACAAAGGACAGTGTGGTATTTTGCTGTGGCTCTGCCCAGAACTTGGGGGACTTCTGGCTATTAGTCTGATGCGTGCATCTTACGACTGCGTTTCGCCGTGACCTACCTGTTTTCTGACTGAGAATCTGCACAAGCTGTAAAGATTCATTAAAAATTAATTTATTGTACCTAGATAAATTCAAATATATGCCTATATGATAAAAAGATTGCAGTGAAACTAAAGCAAACAAATATAACCATTGACAAAACTGTGAATTTTACCTTAGTCGAGCAATCTGATAACAAACTGGTTATGTATGTGAAGAATGGTGTTCATTTCATCGTGTACATTACTCAGTCATGGGTTAAGGCAAATAACTAAGTGAATAAAATTTGGCGTCCAAAATATGCAGGTCGACGAATGGAACAACGGATCGATGATGACTTTTTTAGCATGCCTATCAATGAGGCTTTTCATAGCGGCTACAGTGTCCTTGAAATATATTTACATTCTTATTTAATGCCTGCTTCACTAGTCACTGCCATAGTTCTGTCGTCACTTTTGCCGGCATTTTGTCAGCCAACTTTGTCAATAACTAAATGATTGCACCATTTAATGTTGATGCCTGATTATTCGTCAAGATCTCTTTTTGCTCCAGGCTTACCGCACATGTCAGATTTCTTCCACCATGTGCCATCCATTGCTGAGCCTTCCTCATCAAAACATGCTACGATGGCTACTCAGTAAAGCATCCGACGCACAGCGAGGGGTCTCGAAGTCGAACCCGGCCGGTTTACTGACATTTCTTATTTTGATGATCATAAACTGTTACTGCTCTTCGAGAGGAAAACAGAGGACTAGATGTTGTACTCGCCATATCGTTTGTGTTAAATGTGCCTTTATAAAAGGGCACTCATTGTGGATGATATCATGGACATGGAAATCACGAATAGAAGGACGCAAGAAATGGACCCATGGTTGAAGTGTGAAGAAGACCGACGTTCCAGTTACCAAAAGTTAGCAAAAATCCCTACAGAATGGGCGTTTTACTGAGAGGAGTAAATTTTGTCACTGAAAAAGTTTTGTCCTTTTATTTAATTTGCATGTTAGATCTTCAGAAGTTCCTTAATCAATAAAGATGATCATTCGCGCCGATTTTATGGTTAACAGTACAGAAAAGTGAAAAGATTTACTTATCAGACCAACGTTTCGATCAGTTTTGGTAAGATAATCCCTTGCAGTTTACCATTGAATCACAAAGGTTGATCACCTTTACGTATCCACTGCACGAATGCGCTGAAAGTTTTACAAATTGTTTACAGAGGGAAATATTCGTGTTTTTTACTTTTGTGAATGATATTTCAAGAGCTTTCGGCTGATATCATCAATTAATTTTTTAAAATTAATTGACGTTTACACCTGGTGCTGCCTTTCAGAAAGCTATGAGGCCAATCTGCAGGCGCACGCTTTGCCATGACTACACCAAAACACTATGCTGCCGTATTATTCTCGGGTGAGCGACGTACTACCCGTTTTTCTGCTTGTTGCATCGAAGCACAATGGGCTGAACTCCTTTATCAGGGGAATTAGCAGTGAATAAAAAAAAATTTACGCCCCGCTTGGGGTTTGAACCCAGCGCGTCTAAAGCGGAAAGGAAGCTGCTAGCGTACTTCTCCACTGCTCCCTCCCTCAATCCCTCCACTGCTCCTTCTCGTCTACTTTGATTTCTTAAAGCGCTGCTTTTAGGAAGGCTCACAAGAAGGACTACTGTCGGAAGGTTCACTGAAAGAAGATGCAAAAGTCAAACCAAAACCAGCTCCTAGGAAGCAAGTTCAAGACGATGGAAGCAGAGAGTCTTCGTACGTAAACACTTCATGTATCGATTATTTGTACATCGTTATATGATTTGCGAAGTTCTCCCTTAATCCTCCCTTAATTTCTATTCTTGCTATTTTTTCGTAGCAAGCATGTCAACTGTGAAAATGCTGACTCTAATATAAACCATAATTACAATTTTCTTTAAAGGCTGCTGTTGTGAGGAGTCTTGATCATTTTTAGTCTGATATTTAGACTTTACTTCGTGAATGTGATCAAGAACTCTGGTACTGAATGTGTCGTTGTTTGAATATAATCATAAACGATAGCAGTTTTTCAACCGAAACCTAAAACTGTGTGAAATGAAAAATTTGGAAATGAAATGGGGATTAATGTGGTACAACAAAGTCATGAGAGTCATCATTTTCCTGTAAGGGACAGTGGTATAATTATCACAACTAGACGTTCGTTATCACTCTTGCAGTACAAGCAAATGGTAAGAATAACGTATGCGGCACCGTTTTGATGCCATTTATCAGTGGTCCTCATTCTTAGTGTTTATTAAAAAGGAAGAACAGAGCTAAAGCAGCTGTTACAGTTTTTTGGGTCGGCAGTTCCCAAAATTTTAAAGGATTCAAGAAGATGATAGATCTTCGAGCAGTCGCAGTCATTGCAGACACTGTGGCATGTTATGTTCTTGTAGTTCGACATGCGTGAACTGTCGTGAGATATCTCCATACAAGGATTGGTTTAGGCTGTTGAGGATATTTTGAAATGCGTCGAGACGCATTCATTACGTAATAATTTTATGATACTGATGAATAATGCTTTGTAAACCAGTTATTGTCGAAGAAAAAGGCATATTTGTATAATCTTTTGGGTATGCCGTCAGGATATCGTACGGAAAGCAGACTCTCTCGAATAAGCGGCATTCAGGCAGTCATACTTTGACCCAGATTGCTGACCTAGATTGAATGCGTGGTGTATGCTTTTTGTCTTTGACGATTTTGGGGGTTAAGCTTTTTATGTATATTTGAAGCGGTTCCAAAAATGCTCAATCCTGTTTGAAGGTTTTGCTGGATGCTGAAATGCTTATGATTATATTCATGTGCCTTCGAGTTTATAAATAAATGTTTGCACCTTGACGGACAGTATTAATATAAACTGTAGTCTAGTTATTACTTCTTTAGAACGAAGAGTGAGAAAAGTGTTGTGGAATCAGAGGTAAGGCCAAACGTGGTGAACAGTTGTCTTCCTAACATCGTTTGTGCAGGAACCTGGAAATAGTGCTGTTGGTCGTGATGTAATTCATAAGCAGCAGCGTTCTTCGGGCGATGCAGTGGTAGAAGTCCTTTCTCCGCCACCCTCTGTCGCCGCCGAAATTTCATTTAAGTCCAACAGGGCCACAGATCATTTGTGGCAAAGTGGACCAATGCCGGTCGACGACAAGTATATCTGTTATCATATGTTTCGGTCATTGCAGAGTTCTGCTAAGGTACAGCCAGCTGTCGCCATTGTCTGTTCTCCTCACTGCATGTAATCTGGACGGTGTGCCGGTTGACAGGATCGCTTCTGGCACGACGGTACTGATGGAGAGAAAATTATTATGTGAACAACGGAAAGAATTTTCTGCTATTGAAGTTGTTTTCCACTTTTTGGGACTTCAAGCGTATGCCATTCTGATCGACTTGATAGTATTTACAGAATGTTTTTTAGATATCAACCGTCGGCCGACCAAATCGGTTCTGTGTACTGTAGTTTCCGGTTCTATCACTTTGCGTCGCTGATCAGCGAGCGGTTTTTGACGACAATGCTACTTACAGAAGCCTAATTACGTTAGTTTTCTAGATTGGTCGCGATGAAAACCGAACAGATTTCGTCGGATCCTTCGCTCAGAATTTTCTACAACGAACGTACCGGCTCTGGCCAGAACGAAGGCAATGCCGGTTATGAGGTAAAGCTTTTTATGCTAGCAATTATTTTTTCAGCGGTGAACCGATACCAACCTTGAGGTTTCCGCTACAATTATTTAAATTACGTCTCCTGATTTAAATTTTTCCATCTTCTTGATTAAGTAAACTAATTTCTTAGTTGATACTTACCAAGGTGAATGATCATTTTGATTGACTCGTTGATCCATACAATGGATTCCTGTTTCAAAGGAATACAACGGGAAGATGAATGCAAAATATCATTGAAACATCAGTTGAATATGCTTTTGTTAAACACTCACTTGAGACCCAGTCCTGCGTTTTATGCACTGCAGACGCTTAAATGTGATGGAACCATGGCCTGTTTAAATGGTTTCTATAGACGTCTAGATGATAGTGGGCAATGCAACAGAGTTGCTGATGTAGAGTGAGCAATAGATTATTTATTTTTCTTTTGTTGCACTGCATTTTCGCCATTTCAGTCCGATATTATTTTTAATGTGATATCTTCAGCGTCTTATCGAAAGTCCCCTAGAACATCAGGGTAATATTTTGTTAAATCTTTTACTGTCTGTGTTTTCGTTACAATTACCAGTATTCAATAAATCAAAAGCTAAAGTTATGTTCTAGCACAATAACAGGGTTTTATTAACATAATTCTGAATGACATTCGCTTATTCCGTGAATTCACACTAGTTTTTCCTAGCAAGCTTCTTACTGCACTCCAGCTTTGACTTGCATCAAAGGAGAAAGAGTACAAAGGGAATAGAGTAGATCGGCCCTAAAATTCTTGGGTTTGAGGCTCGGTCGGGTCAGTCTTTATTTTTTTCTTCCGACGTTGATAGATTAATGTCATTCTGGTAAACGAAAACGCAAGACTAGACATTACACTTGCGACGTAGCTGCCGTTGACTCTGGCTTAAAATAGTGCACCCTTGGCCAATGGCGTGGAAATGCAAGTCGGTGTCCCTCCTGAAGAAGAGCGGCGCCAGAAATGGTTCCATAATGTCAGTGTAGGTAAGACCGACATTCCAACGATTACAAATTTTAGTTCCTTCTTTGCTGTCATAACTTCGACTCGCCAGCAACATTCTCTAATTTGTTTGTATCATTAGATATTTAACTGGAAAACGTTTCTTGTAGTGCTTTAAGTACTTAGTGCGAATCAACCCATGATTCAATTATGTTATTTCGTAACTAGAGCAATTTTTTTATTTATGTTGGAAGGTCCCAAAGATGGCCGATGGATGCTAAAAATCTGTATCGTTGAAGCGTTTCACTTCCACCCAAGTATAATTATTAGTGCACAACTGGTATCACGTTGCCATTACAAAAACGGTAAACTTTAAGTAGGCAAAGTACACGACACGTGATTGACAGATCAAGGTTATGCATGGTTTCAGTCCGGCAGTTTCACTGGGGTTGTGGCTCAGTGTGTAAGAGATCGGCTTTGGACACTATTTTCGAAGGTGTCGAGTTCCATTCACACGATGAAAGGACTGTTTTTGCTACTAATTCCCTTTAGGAAAAATTTATTGCACGTTGCGATAGGTCTTAGATTCCAACCCTGGTCAGGGTCACTCGGCTTTCACCCTACCGAGTTTGATAAATTAGTGTCACTGTGATAAATGAGTTAGAAGGAAACAGCAGGATACAGACTGTGCTTCTCACATATCTGTGCTTTCGATTGCGCCTTTAAAACAAAGTGCTCCTGACCAATGACATGGTAATGGCGATCAGCGTCCCCTATCATTGACGGCATAAAAATGCTGCTGGAACTGGCTCCACCATGTAAGAGTAAGAAAGACCGGCATTCCAACGGTTACAAGTTTTTCTGCCTTCGTTCCTTTCCTTCACTTTGTATCACGGTTGTGATGTTCCACAATTTTCGCTCATACTGTGGAACTTAGTGTACATTTAATATTCCATATTTTTATTCTAGATGATATTATCGACTTATTCTTTCAAGAAACTCCTTAGACATGAATATTCTCTATCTGTTACAGGTAAACGCAGCTGAAAGTGTATCCGTTTTGATGGTACCAGAGTTTTCTGCCCTCCTTAGGGAATACAGATAAGTTTAGTAGTATTAATGTGTATTTTACCTGTTTCTTAGCATATTTCTTCAACAGTAGTTCGAAATGCGATTCAGACCTATCAGTCTTTTGATTCTTTGTCAACTCATTCACCCAGCGCAGCTTCATGTCTTTATTTTCAACGTCACCTTACCTTTTTTTGTCATAATCACTTTGATCCATTCTCTGGTGTTTATACCAGTTTTTATACTACCTTATGAGTTTATTGTTCGAGTCTAGTTTTCAAGTGACCTAACCAACGAAACTTAATCTTTTTCCGTTTTTGGAATTGTACTTTAACAAATCCTGTAGATCAGCTGTGCTTCTTCCTTGTTAGCATCGCACTTTCCTTTTATATCATTCAGCTGTTCATTGAGTTTCAGCGACGTGTATCTGCTGTCAGCTGCGTGAGACAGTGATAGTTTTTCTGCTACCTTTTGCATTGGTTTTGTGTTTAGTGCCATGTTTGAGATCATGCTGCTGACCTTTATGCATTTGAACCATTTGAACCATATGCTATGTCAATTTCCGGTTTTCTTGCGTGATATAAGTAAATCAGTTTAATGTTTCAGCTGGTAGCAGATATCTCCATATTCGTTCACCTTGAATCTGAAATAGCCTGCCATGTGTTCGGCCTTGCTTTTACGTATATGAGATCTGTTTTAGGGTAAATTGCTCTCCGCGGTTCGATGTTTGCTTCCTGTGCTTCTCTGTTTTTGTTGATCATATAAATCTGCGTAGAACATAACTGCTGGTGTAAAGCAAGCAGTCTTTTAGTAACCCATTCTTCGTTACCAAATATGGAAGTGTACTCTGTTGACAAACAATTTACGCATCTCCTAACAGAAATATTTCAATCATTCCATTATACCTTTAATTTGAGTTTCGGACTTTCGCTATCTGCTCGCGCGTTTGCATCAGGTACTACACAAATTAGCCTTGCTTGAGACCGAATGCAAACATTACTGCGAGTTCGAGCCTGTCATGAGCCCCGCAGTTGTCAAGATGTAACCATGAGGAAGACTTGTAAGCATTTAAGTAATTTTTTTCAACGGAATGATTTTTTGACAATGAACTTATACAGAAGGGTTTGAGGTTATTGATCGTGCGGTTTCAGAAGAGAGCGTTATTAGCATATTTTCGTTGATCCTTTACACAACGGAAGATGTTCAGATTCGATTAACTTTCTTTGTAATTTTCTTTAATGTAGGTAAAATTCGTAATGGATGAAATGGGTGTTTACGACAAACAAGAGCAGTTTGAAAATTACCTGAATGAAAACGAGCTACGAATCGATCTTTGGAACGCTGAATCTGCCATGCTAATCGGCTATGCGGTTTTGCCTTTAAAGGTGAGTTTGTTTGCTGACAAGCTGAGTCGAGCCGCAGTTACCAGTCAGTATCATCAAATTGTTAAACTATCGTAGGTGTTTTCGCTGACTGTAATATATTTTGTATGGTCATGTCAGCTGGTGTCATGGGATTTTTTTTGTTTACTGCTATATTTATTTCATTTACAACTCCATCTACTAATTGCGATATCTTAGTATGTTTTATGTAAATTTGATCTATTTGCAGTTTCATGTTCACTTTGCAAATTAATCTCTGGTTTCACCAAGAAATTTTATTTCATTTCAACACAGCGTAAGTAACCATGCGAATGCGGCGTTCAGGGAAACATGGAACAGACTCGATGATAATCTATTCTCCGGATCAGGGGAATCAAAGGCTGATCACACGCTTTCACTTTACCTTTACTCTTCTTTTACTCCTTAACATAAGTCATTGTTAATTCCAAATTTGTATCATTCAGTGAAATTTCATGTACAGTTGCTATTTCCAATTTTGCTTGAACTGAACGTTAAGAAATCTGGTTTTCAACTACCAAACCTTAAATTTCTGGAAACTGTATTTTTTACATACCTGACTGTGAGTCGCCATCTGTGTAAACTGTCGATGATATGATGGAAACGTATCATATATTTCTAGGTTAGGCGCGAATGGGTTCACTTTGGTCTTATATCCTAGTTTGTAATTAGAGTTTTTCCTTTCCTTGGCATTACTGTACTAAAATACATAAAAGTTCGCATTCATCACAGAAGGATTAAAAATGAGCCTAAAGCGTTAAGGTCATGCTTGAAAAACACATGTCCCTGGCCTGTTGAATTCAATTAAGTGAGGCTTGAAAATAGCATAACTATGTCTGTCTGAGCGGTTCAACAGAGATCCGACTCTGAAACCAACAGAAGAATAAAAATGGCAAAAATAACTTTCTAGAGACTGAAAATGTCCTATCTGAGAAACTGCCCTTCTCCTTGGGACGGAAATTATTCCATCTGTGTTTACTCACAGTGTTGACCTATGGGATGCTGATCGTGGACCCTAGGCCTGAAAGCTATTCATAGACTAGGGACTACGCAAGGTAG